AAATTTTTTTTTTTTTTTTTTTTTGGAAAGGTTTAAGCTTTTTTTTTTTTTTTTTCATTTCCTTTTATTTAAATTATTCATTTGTATATTTTTAATAAGAACCCATCCATCTATAGTAAAAACCTCTGAAATGTCTTCTATTCTTATATTGTTTTTTTGTCCTATATTCAAAAAAATTGAAAAAAAAATTTAGGAAATTACATCTAAAATAATTGCACAGTACAATTAGAAAAAATTCATAATAAATCAGTATATAGCTTTTTAAAATGTTTTATATATATTTTGCTTTCCTTTTAAAATAAATGTTCTTTTTTAATGTTTTTTAATACCTGCAACGATCAACTCTTTGAGTTTTTTTACGAGGTCTTAATAAATGAAAAGGGGTGAAGAACATCGGTATGATGGTATTTTGTGAATTAAATGGATTTTTTAAAAAAAAACTTAAATTTAATTGTAATAACATGATTTATTATTAATACAAAATTATATGTTTTATCAGAAATCTATTAAAGTATAAAAATAATAAAAAAAAATAACATTTAGAGTGGGTATCCCTTAAAATACATACACAATATATTTTATTTTAAAGAGAAAATTTTATAACATTCTTAAATATACTTAGTTAAAATATTTTTTTGATCTGTGATTTTTTCTTTTTATAAATAGTATTGGGAAAAGAATAAAATTTTTTAGAGGAAAAAAAAAAAAAAAAAAAAATATTTAAAAAATTAAAGGAATTTCGTTTTTTTTCAAAGTGACAAATTATTTTAAATATTAACTGCACTGATGATATGTTATTTTACAGATTTGAAAAAATTGTTGAAAATTTAAAATTTCAGAATAAATACATCAAAACAAAAAAAAAAAAAAAAAAAATAAAAGTAATCTCAAATATCTTAATATATATTTTAAGTTTATTTAAATTATAAAGTCATTTAAATAAAATTTTAAAATCAGAAATAAAATATTAAGAAAAATGTATTTTTTTTTGGTGATGCATATAGCACACTGAAAAATTTTATTCATAGAAATAAGAGAAATATTTAATGTAGTATTTTTATATTTGTAATAAAAAATATATTTATTAGTAATTATATACCTTATTTTAGCAAATATACAGTTATCAATTCCCTAATAAATATAAGCTCTCTTTTATATTAAAAATATTATATAAAGAAGAATAGCAAGAATAATTATCATTATTATATATTTAAAAGGATAGAAAAAACAGATATTTTAAATATTCTATACTTACGTTTTTTTTTATTAAAAATAAAATTAATCGGTGCATTAAAATGAAGTTATAAATTATTTTGAAATTTTGTAAGATAAAATAAATAAAACGTTCTTTATTTTTTTTTGAACTTCAATTTATAAATTACTATTAAATCCAAAATCATTTTTGTTGAGTATATCTAACTTTTTTTTTTTTTTTTTTTTCGTATTCTTACAATTTAAGCTTAAAAAGAAAAAAAATTGATATAAAATGAAATTAAGGAATTTATGTATTAAAAATATTATAGCTATTTTTTTAATGGTTCACAAAAAATTTTTTAATTATACGAATGAAGACAAAAGTAATGATACATATATGAAGCACATTAAAGAGTATAAAATTTATAAAAAAAATTTTTATATTTAATTAATATTAAAAAAATTTTACTTTTTATGAGTTTATAAAAAATTAATAAATATAAAAACTAACAAATAAAAGGATAATAATTAAAATTTTCAATAGATTTCATAAAATAGGAAAGTTAAAAAATTTATTTGCAATGAATTTTTTAACAAAGTTTTACAATTTTCTTTTTTTTTTTTTAAAGAAATATATTCATTTAAAATTGTAACTGGAAAATATGAAAAAAGAGAAATTCTTTCTCCTTTAACTTTTACACATTCTTATTTTGTAAAATAATATGTTATGTATACATATATATTTATAATTTATTTACACTAACTAAATTTTTTTTTTTTTAGAAGTTAAATTCTTTTGATAAATAAAAAGTATATAATTTTAATAAAGTTAAATTATAATCTTAATTTTTTGTAAAATATTATTGTGAATTTTATATTAGCATCTTATATATTTCTATTTTTTCATATGTTTTATTTCTTTTATTTTAATTATACTAATGAAAATAATAATTTTTATTTAATTAATTTTTTTCTTCTAATTAAAAAAAATTATTATTTATGTGTTCAGCATATTTTTGAATCTTTTTTTTTTTTTTTACTATTATTTATCATTCATATAATTATATAAATGTATATATACTTTATTTTATTTTATAAATGAATGATAATGTAATTTATTATATACCTTGAAGATAATAAATTGTATAAAAAAATAGTGAATATTTTTATGAATTATTTATTTTTTTTTTTTTGTATTCTTATTCATAATTGTATGGTTATACCTACACATGTACAAATATAAGTATGATTCATATTTTTTTTTTCAAATATATGTAAGTATTTATTAAATTTTTTAATGTGTTGTGAAATATACTACTTATTACAAGAATTCTTTTTTTCCTTTTATAAAATAAAGGACGGGGTAAATTGTATTATATGAAAAGAGCTATGATACTCTTTATTAAAAAATGTTGATAATAAATTAATATTGATTATATGCTGATATAAAATGATCCTATACTCATAAGTGGAGTATCCTTATTTTTTATGCATTACATTCTACTTATTTTATTTTTTTTTTATATATTAAATTTAAAATTATTTAAATCTTTTTATTGAAATTATAATATTTATTTTTTTTAGCAATTACATAAGATGTTTTAAGTAAATCATTTATGGTTAAATATTACACTTAATATTTATGTATTCTTTTTTTCTGATTAACTACTACCTTATATGTCAGAAATAAAAAATACGTATCTCATGCATTACAATGTAATACCTATCAAGAGGTAGTAGAAAAAAGTGAATACATAGTATCTTTCTTAAAATACATGGTATGACTATTTTCTTTAATAAGTATTTTTTATTTATTTCATTTTATTTTTATTATCTTCTATTCATACTTTTTTATTATGCATACATTTTTACAAATTATCAATATATAATAGAAAATATATTTTGAAGAGTTTCTTTTATATAAGTAAAAATTAAAAAGAAAAAAGAAAAGCCTAACTATAGATGGAGAAAGAATAAAAAAAAAAAAAAAAAAAAGATGTCGATTTATCTTGAATAATATTCTTTTTTTTTTTTTTTTTTTTTT